CTTCAGCTCAAGACCAAAGGAAAAGGAACCAAATCCCGCATCCTTTCGTTTCCCGTTCCCATAGGAGCTATGGCTTCTCTGACTCTGCTCTAGTTCATCATTGTAGGGGATGCTTTCGCAACATGTAAACGATTTCAGCCTTGGAATGTGAATTGAGTAAGGTCATTTCCATGTCATCTTCCTCAAATTTCAGGAGTTGTTTGAAGTTGAAGACGGCATCAAGACCCCGAAACCTTTGAGAAGCTATGTCATAGACTTTGGCAGCCTCATCTTCTTCATTGAAAGTTCCAAGCCAGACGATTTGGTGTTTCTCATATATCTGAGCACCCCATCGGCCGTTGGGTTGATGAACAACGCCTTTGTACTTAGAAGATGGGAGCTTTCTTGATTCAGCTTCAGAATCCAAAACCACGCTGCTGGCTCCACTTCCAAGGCGGCAGAGAGAGTCGGGAGATTTGGTAAGCGGATATGTTTTTAGCTGACGTGGTGGGGGAACCATTTCATAGTATCTTGATTTCATGTAGAACTCTTTGCCTTTTTCTTCCATAGATTAACCTCTTAAGGTAGGATAAAGAACTTTTATGACATAACTGAAGGAAGGTAAAGATTGACATTTGTTAGTTCAGTTTAGGACTATACTTTTCCACATTCAATATCTTGTTAGAAATTTGGGGCATTCAATGAGTAGATACCTATCGTTTCATTTCAATGCTTGCATATAAGGGTCCTGCTGGCCAAACTGAAAACCGCACTGCCACTCTTGTAGATTAAATGTGATGAGATTGTGTTTTCATTAGTCTATATATTGCAACCTGGGCATTGTCTTGTTCATGTTTCTAGGATTTTTCAAAAAGCCAATCCAGCTTTTAAACAGCTTTCAGCAAACTCATATTCTGCAATTGCTTGCAGAAGCTCTTAAATTGCCCCTCCCCTTGTAATTTTTAAATTCATTTGTTTTAATTTTCATATTAGCTTGCTACTTATTGATTCGGAGTACTGATTCTCATTCTATTTCTCTGTTTGGAAGGATGCAGGTACTTTTAAAAGTGAATGTTGGTGTTGATTTTCTTAGAGATCCTGTCATTGAAGTTCTTCAGTTTGAAAAATATCAGGAGAGAAACCCTTCTTCTGAGAATCGGCACAACTTAGTGTATACAAATGAAGACCAAAACAGAGAACTGTTGAAATGGTTGATTCCTCTGGATAACACTCTTCCCGCACCTACCACTTTATCCCCCACCTTTAGGATCTGCTTCTGGAATCAATAGCTCATCTCAGAGGTCCTCTCAGCTTTCTTCTTTCAGTAATTTGAGAAATTACTCCATGTCAGCACTTCCTCAAAGTGTTACACCTCCTCATGGACCTGTTAAAGCCCAAAGTTCTAAACCATCATTTGACCTTAATGAGGTGGATCATTCCTCTTCTCAGAATAATTTAAGAGGTAAAAACTCAGGGATTGAAGAGCTTTTATCTTTTCGGGGTGTGTCACTAGAACAAGAAAGATATTCTGTCCATTGTGGATTAGAAGGGATCCATATCCCAGAAAGAAGATGGAGGAGGAAACATCAAATAATTCAACCCATTGAGATCCATTCTTATGCTACTGACTGCAATACATATGACCTTCTTTGTGTTCAGATAAAGGTAAACTCTGATCTTCACTATTCTTGATATAAGTTGTAAACACTTTATTTCCACTCTTATGGATTTGGTCACAGGGTTCTTTTAGTCACTAATTAATTTTTATTGCAATATGTCTCTCCAGAAAATATACCAGATTTTGTAGTATACATAGATGCTATATCAGTTGTTTTGGAAGAGACGTCCAAAGGTGGACCACCTCCTTCCCTACCGATTTCATGTATTGAAGCTGGAGATGACCATAGTTTGCCAAATCTAGCTCTGAGGTTGTTTTCACTCTTGGTCCCTTAATGATATTCTTCTGATGGCTCTCTCATGTTTAGTATTTTAGTATGATGGTTAAGATATATACCACGTAAAAGAAAACTATATTCATCGTTTGCTGCTGTATCCAGAGTTCCAGACATGCTTACTTAGAATATGTGTCACAATGTCGCTAGTACTTTTTTGATGAGCTAGAAAGCGTAATTGTTGTGGAATATTGAACTGTAAATTAACAATAAACCCTTACTTAATGGGGATAGTCATTCGTGTATCCATATATTTATCTTATATCTTAAATTGTGTTTGGAAATAAGGTTTAGTGAGTTGTATCTGCCATCTCATGGTGCTGGGGAATGGGAAGGGTTGTCTATCCTCATGTCTTTATTGCTGGTATTGTTGCAGGAGGGGTGAAGAGCACTCTTTTATTTTAAAACCAGTGTCTTCCATCTGGAAGGATTTCAAAACTTACGGAGAAAAATCTAAATCATCTGGTTTGCAACCCCCTTCCCAGACTTCCGATAGAATGGGGAGTGTTTCGATTGTTAACCACTATACAGTTATGGTATTTTGTCATTGCAACTACACAGGTATGCACATTTCTCTTGGTTAACAGTATGATCTCGTAAATTCTGTGTTCACTGCATGTTCTATCTATTAAGATATAATTTTTTATTGTACACTTAGAATCAAGATTGTTTTTCAAGCAGCCAACAAGTTGGAGACCATGCACTCCTAGGGATCTTATGATCTCAGTTGCATCTGAGATGCCAAGACGACATTCTGGACCTGATGGAGTTACTCAAATTCCAGTTCAGGTTTTATACAATTTGATTCTCCCTCTCCCTTTCTTTCTTGCTTGCACACTATATGTTCATCTAACTATGACAGTTCTCATTCAACTGGTATGATTCTCAGGTTTTAACTCTCCAGGCTTCAAATTTGTCTCCTGAAGATCTAACTATAACAGTTCTTGCTCCAACGTCATTTACCTCACCTCCATCTGTGGTATCCTTGAATTCTCCAACAACTGAAGTACAAAAACCTGGCTCAATGCCCATTATATCTGATAATCAGAAAGAGAATGGTGATGCTGGGGTTAGGTCTACTTCTTCCTATGAGCAGTTGACTCCAATTGCTGATTTCATTCCAACTTCTGGTTTGGGCTGTACTCATCTCTGGCTGCAGAGTCGAGTACCACTAGGGTAATTCATCAACTTCTGTAATATTGTTTCAAATTCTGAATATATAAATGGTAACACTGACATCAATTGATTCAGACATGTTCCTGAGCAATCTACAACAACCATTAAACTTGAGCTACTTCCGTTAACTGATGGCATAATCACTCTTGACACTTTACATATTTATGTTAAGGGGAAAGGTATCCATTTGTTCAATTTCCTTGTTCTGTTATTTGCCTTGCCCATATAATTGTATTATTTTAGAAGTAGTGTGTGGTTAATGCTTCTTTTATGGGATCTATTTATGATCGGATTGCCAACCATGTATTACAGCATGCCATGTATCTATGTTTGACATCGAAAGGAAACCTCTACTGAGAGGGACAAAAACACATGCCTTTTATGTATCTAGTTCTTTATTCGGTAGAGCATGAGAGTTATCATCTGGATATGTAAAAGGCCTAAGGCCTATCCAAATACGGAGATTTTGTTGATGAATCCATTTTTGGTGCAACAGGTCTTACATACATCCCTGAGCAGTCATTGATGATAAACACGACTTCTAGTGTCTCCACAGGGATTATTTAGGATGTGTTGCAACTTGTATTTCTTTCTTCATCTTGTTATTTATAGCCATCAACAAGGACTATGAAGCGGTCATTCCAATTTTGCAGAATCTTTGGTACACAGGTATGTGAGCAGAGAAGGAATAGTGAAAATGTTTTCTCGTAAACTTAAATCTTGAGAATGGCATTTGTTATAATACCCTCATCGATGGTGGGGAAACAAATGTTGTTTGTATTGTGGATGAAGTTAAAAGTGTGAAAACAGTATGTGTTGCAAAGAGATCATTGAGACGTGAGTGATGTATTTGTAACAACCCCGTTGTTACACTTGTGAATTTGTAATCCACTTATATATTTGAGTGCTATAACTTCTTCTACACCTACTCTTTTGCCAAAGCTTTGGGGCTCGTATGGAAATTATAAATGCTATAATCATTCAACAACTCTGGAATTTGTATTCGCAGCTCTATATTTTCTATAAAAAAAATAGAATTCATATCTTTCAAGACTTGAAGCTGTAGTGAGTCAAATTAAAAAACTTGGATTGTTACCATTTATTTTAAATGATAATAATTGGAAGATGATTATTGATTTTTTTAATAGTGGCATTGGTCTTGGTTTAGTTGGTTTTTAATTAAATACTTGAAAATGGATTGAAAACAAAACAAAAAGAGAAGCAGTAATTTCAATGTACACCAACACGTCACATCGGCGTAGGACCCATCCCTTTCCTTTCTATGACCGCACTGCCCACGTGTTTAGCCCTTCCCGCTGCCCGGGCAATCCCGCCCCTCGCTTATAACTTATATCCCTCCAAAAATATGTTACTTTATGTATAAACTAAAATGTTATGATTATAATTAATTAAAAATAAGAATTTATATATTAAAACAAAATTTACATTTTATACTTATTTTTTCATAAAATAAATGACATAGAAATTTAATTAATTATAGATGAATTTACATCCAAATCACTATTTTCAATCATTAATAAATGACATAATATCTTAATTAGAAAGTGAAAATAATCCAATTAAAATAAAAGTTGAGGTGGATAATCTTTTTTTTCTCGGGGCAGCCCCCATTTTGCTTTTTCTAGTCTTCGATTCGATTTAGAATAGTAAAGGGAAAATAATAAATTAAATTAAATTAAAAACAGTGGAGGAAAGAATCAATAATAGCTAGGAAGGGAACTAACTACAACTACAAGGAGATTGAAGTAGGGTTTATTAATTCCATCTCCTAAAATAAAGAAGCAAAAATGGAAAAACAAAGTAACAAACTTCAGCATTTCCAGATTCCATAAATATTCTACTTTTTCCTGCTTAAGATTTTAGTCTGGGTTCCCTTGTTTTACCTTTTTAAAGTTGGGGATTTTGGTTATTAAGCTTTTAACATTTTTAAATTGGGTTCCTTCAGCTTTGCTGGTTTATTTTTTATTATGATATGACAAATTGTTAGGGTTAGAAGAAGAGGGAAGATGGGATTGGGTTTTGAGGAAGGAAAGGTGAAGTCTTGGGATACGTGCAAATCAAAGGGAAGGAAGAAGAAGAAAAACAGTGAAAAAGATCTTAATGATGAAGCTGCTGTAGAAGAAACAGGGTGTTGGGTTAAGTTCAGATTTATTAGAAGCTGCATTTCTTCAAGATCCAAAGTTGATACTTCTGTTAGTGGGACCAGTACCAACTATGGTGATTTTTCATTCCTTTTCTTGCTGAATGTCTTCCCTGAGTATTAAATTGATACTTCTGCTATTAAATTGTACAGCTCGTTCTTATCTTTTCTGGGTTACCTTTTGTCACTCTGAGTAATGTTCTTTTGGGCATGTTCTGTTGGATGAAATGATATGTTCACTGTTATGATCATTTATTGATTTGAATGCTGTGATGCCAGTTTGTAAGTAGCTTGGAGATGATAAAAGGGAAGCTAATTTAGCTTGTGCAATATGTAAAATGGTGCATCCAGCTTAAGGTCTAACAACTCAAGCAGTGGGTTTTTTTTCTAGTTATGATTGGGGTCAATTAGTAGAGTTGAACTAGTTAACTATCCTTAGAAAATAATAAATTGGTATTTTTTAATTTAATCGAATGATAGTTTAACCCCAACCTTGAGCTTCTTAAATATTATAAAATGTGGAAATTACTGTCCTGGATCGTTTTGAACCCTTGTACACATGAGCGATCTTGAAATCTGGACATAGAGATTTAATGTGAAGACTGAAGAATTCCACTGTAATTTAGGTGGTTCGCTGAACTTCATGCATGATGCAGCGCCAAATTAGTGCTTGTATGAAGAAAAATCTATTGCGGTAGCTGTTTCATTTTAAGTGTTATTTTTGAGAAGGTTATAAATGATGTATGGCATTGATGAGAAAGTGCTAGTGTCAGATACATGGTGAAGTTCAAAGATGCTTTACAATCATATATACTCAAAACGGGATTATATTATCAGCATACTAACTGCGCTGTGGCAACTTGAGTTCCCACAATGTGAACCCGAATTTCTCCCCTACATCATGTTTTTCCTGTTGGAGCCTTATATAATTTTTATCTTGTAACATGTTATATCTGTGCATTGATGAACAGATAGCAAATCTGCCTATGATACCAGTAAAGATCAACCAACAGCTCCAGTTGTCTCATCTACAACCACTAGCAATACAGAAAGTAGTTCTTCTGCTTCCAAACTTGAAGATGAGATTAAAGTTGCATCTAGGTTACGGAAGTTCACATTTAATGATCTAAAGTTGGCAACAAGAAACTTCAGACCTGAGAGTCTTCTCGGTGAAGGTGGTTTTGGTTGTGTTTTCAAGGGGTGGATCGAAGAAAATGGAACTGCTCCAGTAAAACCAGGCACTGGGCTTACTGTTGCTGTTAAAACACTCAACCATGATGGCCTCCAGGGTCATAAAGAATGGATGGTTTGCACATTTCCTCAGCTGTTTCTCCTTTACTCATTCATATCAGTGCCTAACGCTTTCTTTTTGTTTCTTCTAAGTACTTATTACTTAATCTTTTGTTGTTTCTTGGATCATCATTTTGGCAGGCCGAAGTGAATTATCTTGGTGAGCTCATCCATCCTAACCTGGTTAAACTTATTGGTTATTGTATTGAAGACGATCAGAGATTGTTGGCTTACGAGTTTATGCCTCGTGGAAGCTTGGAGAATCACCTCTTCAGAAGTATGTAGCAGCTGTTTTGTCTATGAATGAGTTTTCACTTCAGAATATTCATTTTTGAAGCATCATATTTGTTCATTCAAAACATATGTCAAGTTGGGTTTCAGTCATTTGCTACATATATCTTATAGGGATATTGAGTTACAAGTTACAACAAATATCATCTCTGATCTCTGGTGTATGGATGCTTTTTTATATTGGACTCCAAAAATAATGGATCTACCGTCTACTCTAGAAATGGCTGACTGTTTAGATTGGAATTGAATTACTTCTCTCTTGATATTCTACATGTTTCTTATAGCTATGTGCTGTAATGGGGGGTTTTATGTTTCCAATTAACATTGTAACTCAGTTAGTTGCTTATATAGGATCCTTGCCTCTTCCGTGGTCCATAAGGATGAAAATTGCACTAGGTGCCGCAAAAGGTCTTGCATTTCTCCATGAAGAGGCAGAAAGACCTGTGATTTATCGGGATTTCAAAACCTCTAATATCCTACTAGATGCAGTATGTTTCCCAAAAACTTTACCTCGGTACAATTCCCTGTTTAATGATAAAAATAAAACAAGAATTTGTTTTACGCAATGATTTACACCTAATAATATGCATTGCAGGACTATAATGCAAAGCTCTCTGATTTTGGACTTGCTAAAGATGGTCCTGAAGGAGACAAAACCCATGTATCAACCCGTGTGATGGGAACATATGGCTATGCAGCCCCTGAATATGTAATGACTGGTAAGCTTTAAAAGAAAGGAGATGCTTGTTTAAGTTTGCCACTTTACCCTTCCCTTCCCTGTTATATGCTCTTCGAACTTTATACTTGACAGTTAAATGATTTGTAAGGTAGCTTTAACTTTATTTATCTGCTTTATGAGCAGGATTTTACAGGCAAAATATGTCTAAAAATGGAAGTTAGAAGTATGTTCGATGATAAAATAGTTCTTTAGGGCAGATATATTTTAATTTTACCCTTTCTTTTGGTTATGAAAAATGAATGTTCCAATCTTTGAAGCATGTTTTAATGCTTTTCTATGTGGACATGACACACTTCGACAATTGTCAGAGCCTGTAGTTTAGCTCTGCTTCCTCCTTTGGCATGATTCTTTAATCTCTAATTATTATTAAGTTCTTTAAATCTCACATAGTACTTTAGGGGGCATCCTCGAATGCAGTAGTAAAAGAGTTTAGAGGTTCCACGTCTAATTGTTATTCAAAGCCTTTCCTCCTTGTCCTCAAGATAGGCAGTTAAAGAAAATTGGAAACTGTGTGACACAAACTTCTTACAATGTTGCACTTTGGCTGATGAACACCAAACTATTTTTCTGTTGAACACTATTTTGCATGCTCTTTAGATGGAATGGCCTGCTGACATTTCCATCCCATTGAACCACTATTCATTTAACAGGAGTGAAAGCAGGTTGAGTTATGATGTCAGTTTATGATTTAAGATGTTTTTCAGGTGGGAAACCGCAGGATTACCTGTCATGCCGGAAACTTTTTCACTGTTTATTGTGGGTTTTGCAATCATTTTTGTGAATGAACTCCAAAATTTCTCCTTTATAGATTTATCCTTACCTGCTATACTAATCGGAGATGAAAGGAACACTTTATTTTGGTTCTTCTCTTTGGGTCTGATTAAAGTGAACATTAATTCTCTCTCAGGACATCTTACCTCAAGAAGTGACGTCTACAGTTTTGGTGTGGTTTTACTTGAAATGTTAACTGGCAGAAGATCCATGGACAAAAACCGACCTAACGGAGAGCATAATCTTGTGGAATGGGCTCGACCTCATCTAGGTGAGAGAAGAAGATTCTATAGATTGATCGATCCTAGGCTTGAAGGTCACTTTTCGATTAAAGCTTCTCAGAAAGTTGCACAGCTGGCTGCACACTGCCTAAGCCGTGATCCAAAAGCTAGACCTCTAATGAGTGAAGTGGTTGAAGCATTGAAGCCTCTACCAAATCTCAAGGACATGGCAAGCTCATCATATTATTTCCAGACAATGCAAGCGGAAAGAGTCGGATCCAGTCCAATTACTAGAAATGGTGTCCGAAATCCAGCCGGATCACTTTCAAGGAATGGGCACAGGAGCCTTTCCATTCCAAATGGTTCCCATGCTTCTCCCTATCATCACCAGTATCCCTATCAATCACCAAAACCCAATGGTAAACCATAGTGTTGACTAGTTAAATTATCTTTCCCCAACCTCTTTTCATCAATTTCTTTTTTCTTTTTTCTTTTTTACCTCAGTATAGATGTATTATGTCAAAGCATTTCTTCGTAGACAATGGAGAAAACAACAGATTAGCATGTTTGCTTTAATATAATGTTTGGGATTTTAGCTCCCAGCAGGACATTCAGGTCAAGTAAAGCTACATGTGGAGCAAAATTCCATGTTAAATCATATGTTGCTTTAATCTACCTAGTTGAAAGAGTTGAGTTGCCTGTTGCTATAATAGTCTTCCATACAGGAATATTTTGGGTACTGCCTAGGCGCTTGGTAACTGCGAGTGGAAAAGCCAATTACTAATATTTAACCCTTCATTTATTGTTTTCCACATTCAACAACAGTAACGTTAGTTGATTTACATTAAGAAATTTGACAAGACCGACTTATTAAGTGATCTTCCGCTACACACTCCCCTGAATTGCCACTGTCTTCGTAAAGATATGGATATGCAGGAAACTCATCAAGCTCTCCTTGTCAGTTGCTCTTTGGATGTGCTCTCAAAGATCTTGTCAGCATTTCCAACCTCAAATCCATCTCGCCTGTGGGACTCTTTTATCTGTGTAATTCAGTTCATAATACAAGAAATCAGTACCCGTGCTATGTTTATTGTAACATACAGAGGGATTATGAACACTAAAACCATTCAAGGCTAACATAGCGAGCTAATGTCCGCTACAGAACTCTTTGTTGTGAGTTTTTGTAGTCACCTGCACCTTGTGAACTTAGAGAAATTAATATATTAACAAACAACTGAAAACATTATAAATACCTCACTCTCGGGCAGACTTTTGTATTGAGGCAACACAAGGCGTTCAGCGAACTCAATGTATGAGCAGGGAACTGACTCATTAATACCGTCAGAAAAACTGAAAGGTATTGAATCCGCTACGGTTGAGCTTTGCAGCAGTAGGCCATCCGGACTCACTGAAACCGAGGAAACATTTAATTCTTAACTCCATTTGCAAACCAATATATAATACAATCATAACAGCAACGGTATGTAACTTTGAGAAAAATTAGTATATACTCATAAAGCTATTATCATTACAGCAAAAACGGAAGGAGGAAGGAATAAACCCACTTATAAGTTGCTAATTAGATAAATAGCTATTGCAATAATAATAATAAAAAGAAACCCAACTAACGTTAGCATCTTAAGGAGGGATAAATCCGAGATATGGAAATTTTAAAAGCTCCTCGAATAGCTTTAATAATTTCTAAGTACTTGATTTGCGCAAAGTGTTTCAGGCTACGAAGAACCTTAGTTCAGGCATGATTATAGAAAACACTCCGATAACGGCATATTGCATTTAAACAAACCAACCCATTAAGCTCTCTTCCCAGTGCCATAATGCCAAAGAGTTTTTCTCTAAAATTGAAATAAGAGATCCAAGTGCTAACTTTTCATACTTTGAAAGCTGCTTTGAGTTTTAGCAATATTCGACTTCACACCATTCCTAGTCCATTTCTATCACATTGGATAGTAAAAAGGAATCTGGTGGTGTTTAATTATCAACAATCAAACTGTCACTAGCTACTAGCTAGTTGCTAGGACCAGCATGCCTCGTGACAGAAACCATCATGAGTAGAATCTCACTCTCAAAAAGTTACGGTAGTTTGTGCCTTCAAAGTGCTATTCTAAAGGCAGTTTATAATAAAATAGTAATATATGTTCGAGGAAGTATCAAACCTTTTAGAACTCCGCCTTCAGAATTCAAGTTGAACCCATTCTTTTCAATGAACAGATTGAGGCTTCTGATATTCTTCAATTTAGATTTCAACCGATGCGTGGAGATTGTGACATGATTGAGTGCATACCCATTGACAAGGGTCCATGCAGCATATTCACTTTCCCTGCACATTATAGAGATTTAAGTAGGCATTTGTAACTGGAGACCTGTGTATAAATCAAACTGCTGTAGAAAATGCAGTATTATAGCACTAAGATGCTGATGGGTAAAGTCAACTCATATTATGCTGTGAACTGCTCAAAATTCTTTGCTCAATGAAATAAATGCAATCAGAAAGTACCCTGCCAATTGTTGAAATTCAGAATACAAAGGCTTCTCCCATGTTAAAGATCCCAGAGCACTTGCAAGAGTAGCATATCTATTTCCACTACCGTATTTTTCAGTGTACTTTCTGATTATTTCCTGAGTCAACAATGAAAAAATATACAAAATAAGAACATAGGAGTACAAAGAGAGGTGGACATCAGGTGCAAATTATAATAACACATCATAAGTCATAATAGTATCTTTAGCCAGATTTCTCGACAAAAGACTTAGAGAGTTTTCTACGTGAGAGATAGGGAAGGCACAACTATTAGATAGTAGGGCTCTCTTTCATTAGGTCTCAAACTTGAAAATCAACTATAATACATTTAAAAAATGCATTTCTAGTCAATAAATTCGCTGAACATATTACCCCTTTAGTCCACCACCATAATCTGCATCTTTTGAATAGTTTAATGAAAGAAAAAGAGATATAAACATCAGCAACCAACCAAAGCTCTGAAATAAATACTCTCGATACGGGGCCATTAACACCAATGCTTTGGTATGTTGAAGACGGATCATTTAGCATTTCAAGTTTGGCAACATTTCAGCTTTGATTAAACAAGGCACAATGAATGAACTAGTTAGGTTATATAATATAGTAATGTTGACTTATAATGAAATGGCAATAAACATACCTGTGTTTTGGGGCTTAGTTGATCCACAAGAAGCTCTGAAATAAATACTCTTGGTAAGGGGCCATTAACACCAGTGCCACCATCTTGAGACGAACTATTGGGAGGAGAAAACCACAAGGCTTTCAATTTTTTAGCAGGAAATCTTAGTTCCTCCTTTTGGGTATACCCATAGTCCAGAAAAAAACTTGCCAAGGAGTTAATCCCATAACCATTTACCTAAGTTACAATACCAGAAAATGTGCAGCAGAGCTCAATATTCAATACAAATTAATGAAGTACAATCGATTCCCAAACAGTTTGAAAGCATACCCCAAAAGTCCTGAAAGCCAGATGATCATAGCAAATGTGTTCATCATCAACGGAATGGACAAGCTCCAAAATGGATTTTGCAGTAGGGTTTCTATTTAAATAAACTGTTTCCATGCTTCTCAAGACATCCCTGAGAAACGATTCACCTTCCTGTAACATAGATATCATAATAAGTAAAAATTTTCAGATGCAAATAATTTGACAAAAGTGAAGTTACAGTTGACGATATTCATATTGAGAAGGCAAGAGATTGCCTCGCCAGCTCGTGAGATCAACTCAAAGGACTCTGCAAGATAATTTATATTTCTTCTATTGAATATATCATGCCGTATATCTCTTATTGTGAGTAAATTTTACTAGAGTGACTTGGCACATGAAGTCCTCTATATCGCACGATCAAACAATTCAGGTATGTTTCGAAGCCTTAATTACTTACTTTTATGCAGAAGAAAAGCAATGTTTATAAGCTATATGAATTCCAGATGATAACTGGAGTCTTAGATCAAGTGTTAAAACAAATCTAAAATTATTATTATTATGATAAATAAAAAAAAAAGAAAAGAAGAAATCGGTGAAGTGTTTTAAAAGATTAAAACTTGACATTATCTAAACACAACTCCTACAAGTATTTCTTAGCTGATCATGTACATACAAGCACCAAGTTCCAAAGAAAGTAAAGCTGATTAAGTTCAATGATTAAAAGTATTTTATGAAAGAAAAAATGATAATTTTTCTCCAAAACAACAATAGGAGGAGGATCACCTTGGATTGACCGTCTGATTTGCAGGCGGAGACGATGGTAGATGAAGTTGAATTCCGGCGAAACAAAAGGCCGTTGAAGGAAACGGGAAGACGGGAAGATAGCTTGTGGGAGTGTGGAGGAGAAAAGGCGGAGGCCGGCAGAATATTGAGAGAAGGTGGTTGAAAGGGGTTCTTAGCAATCGCCGATGAATAACAATTGGAGGAAAACATCGCCGATAGTTTCATTGGGATCTTCTGACACTATCCGCCACCAGGATCAACTGCGATAATAAAGCTTAAACTTGAATTTGATTGCTTTTTTGTTCTTCTGGAATTCCCTAAAAGATAAGATCAGATGAGAATAATACTCAATTTGCCTTTTTGGACTTCTACCCTTTCTAGTCGATGATAGTCTTTAGCTTATCGAGTTCCACACGTTACTGTTCATTGTTTGACAAATAAATCTCAAGCTCAACTTCAAGTTCAAATGATTCATTTTTTTGGAAAAGGATAATGTTGGATGAAAAGGAAATAACGTTATCGTCGTGGCGAGCGAGAGACTTGCGTGTGGGGATGTTGAATGGGACGGCTCAATTTTTTTCCTTTAATAATTTTATAGTAACTATTTAAAAAAATTAATCAATTAATAATATATATTATGGAATCCAAAGTCTTTTAAAATAAGTAATATTATTGAAACCTTTGTTAGGTTTTAAAAATAAAATATTTTTTGATTTTAATTTATTTTTTTTGGATAAATTGAATTTTATTATCCAAATGAACATTACAGGAAACAAGAAACATCCCAAGAGGGAAACCTGTTATTTACAACAAAAAATTAGTTAATACTCCAATAATTACAGAGAATAGAATTAACATCATCAAATCTATTGATTTTCTTGTCCATAAGCTGGATTCTAACTTGCTCCTTGATGTTCTTCAAAAGCTGGTCCATTTCTCTATTTCTATTTTGAAAGATTCTTCTATTCATTTCTTCCCAAATGAAATAAATAAAAGCATTCCATGCAATCCTCAAAACAGTGGAGATGAAGGATTTACCTTTCCATTCTCTACAAGACCAATCAAGCCGTGTTTCCCAGAACATGTGGGGTTTACGCAAGTGAGTGAGCTGCAATATGGAGTTCCAAAGAGCTTTAGCAAAGTGGCAGTCAACAAACAAATGATTTCGAGTTTCAATTTCCTCTTTACAGAAGACACATAACTCATCAGTTTGAGTTCATATCCGAGCTAGTTGGGCACGAGTTGGAAGTCTATCATGAATAGCCATCCAAGTAATCATACTTGTATTTGGAATATGGCTTCTGTCCTTAGCTTTAACAATTTTTTGCTGCCCCAGCTGTGAGTAGGACTTTCACTTAAGTTAATAAAATCTTGGTTCTTGATCAGATACAACTTAATCCAAGCAACCCAAAGTGATCATTCTCCAGCAAGAATGTTCCGAATTAACTGAATCATGCAAGATTTGTTCCATGTTTTGATATTTTTAAAACTGAGACCACCTTCAGATTTGGGACAACATGTATGTTTCCAATTGATTCTAGCTCCAGCAACCGCTTGATCAGATCCCCTCCAAAGAAAACGAGTACATAGCTGATCAATTCTATTGATAACAGACTGAGGAAGCATGAACTGTCTGCGCCAATAGTTTGAAATATTAAACAGAACAGATTTGATCAATTCAAATCTTCTAGCATAACTAAGCATTTTCCCAGACCAAAGAAGCAGTTTAGATTTAATACTATCTATAAGCGGCTGGCAGTCTTGTAAGTTTAGTTTCTGAGTGACTGAGGGTACCCCTAAATACCTAACAGGCAGGAATCCTTGTTTAAACCCAGAGAAAGCTTTAATAGCTTCAAGATTTCTATGCGAAATGCCAACTGCAAACAGCTCAGTCTTATCCACATTAAGTTTAAGACCAGACAAGCTATAAAAGTGATTCAGAACAGTAAGGATACCAATAACATAATCAGTGTTTCCTTTGCAAAAAATTAAGAGATCGTCAGCAAAAGATAAATGAGTGAGTCCAATTTTTTTGCATTTTGGGTGATATCCAAATAAACCCCTAACAGCAGCAATGTTTAGGATCTTTGAAAGAATATTCATGGAAAGAACAAATAAAATAGGAGATAAAGGGTCTCCTTGACGAATACCCCTTTGACCTTTGAAATATCCAATTATGCTACCATTTAAAGAGATAGAGTATCTTGCTTCCTTGAAGCAAGCTTCAATCCAGCTAATGAAGATGTTTGGCAGACCAATAGCAATAAGAACAGCTGAAATAAAGTCCCAATGAAGAGAATCAAAGGTTTTTTTAAGGTCAATTTTAAGAGCACACCTTGGAGAGATATTCTTCCTCCCATAGCCTTTTACAAGTTCTTGAGCAAGAAGAGTGTTGTCAATTATAGATCTTTCTCTAACAAAAGCAGTCTGGTTTAGTGAAATTATGTCAGGCAGCAGCAAAGTCAATCTTTTGACAAGAATTTTAGTGACAATTTTGTAAACTACAGAGCAGCAGGAAATTTATTTTTATGTTTGATGATATTAACTTTTTTAATTTAAAAGTAAAATTTTATTCTAATTAAACGTGATATAAATATTATTTATTTTTATTTAATAACACAAAAATAATTAAAAATATAATATATTAATTATTTTTAAATATATTATTTAAAACAGATCCAATTTAAAAAAATTATTCTATTCAATTTTTTTAATATAAAACTCATATCGTTCTTTTATAATGGTTCGATTCATTCAAAATCCAAATGTTTTTAAAGAAAACTAACACAAAATCAAATGAGAAGTTGAAAATTTATTATGATATATTAATCATCCCAAATTACGACATGATATATTAACACATGATATATTTTTATGTTTGACGATATTAACTTTTTTAATTTAAAAATAAAATTTTATTCTGATTAAACGTGATATAAATATTATTTATTTTTATTTAATAACACAAAAATAATTAAAAATATAATATATTAATTATTTTTAAATATATTATTTAAAACAAATCCAATTTAAAAAATTATTCTATTCAAATTTTTTAATATAAAACTCATTTCGTTCTTTTATAATGGTTCGATTCATTTAAAATCCAAATGTTTTTAAAGAAAACTAACACATAAAATCAAATGAGAAGTTGAAAATTTATTATGATATATTAATCATCCCAAATTACGAGCGCGATGCACAGAAATTGCGTTTAAAAATGTAGAAATCTGACAATGCCAGGTTGTAAATGTATGGATAAAGATGGAACGTGGACATGTCCTGACAATCCTGGGTATCTTAGGTAACAGTCTTCCCTTAGTTTATACATAACATATATCTATGCCTTATATAATACAAAATTTAAGTGGATAATTGTATGACCAGACATGATGTTCACGTTTATTTATTGACCATTCCCAAAGTTTATATATATATACACACTAATAAAGAAAATTCTTTTGAAAAATGATATTCTAAACTTAAAGTTATTTGGGAAATACAATATGGGTGTGGTCCACTTCTACAAAGCATTCGACATGCCTAAGCCTCGAGTCTCTTCCAAAATGATTCAAATAAAAGCCCACTCTAACCACCGAGAAATGGGTATTGAAGTCGACTTCATCCCTTATCATGACAACACTATAGTCGCTAGACTTCCTCCTAATTAATTTGATCCAAGTAAACATGGTAAAGGATGTTGATGTTGGAACAATTGATTTCTCGGTCAGAAAATGGGGCAAGCTCTTGGGTGTGTTCTAGTGGAGCAGTCAACCGTGGCTATTACAGAAACCTTTGGGAAGTTTAATCATGTTCTTGGGCCTGGTTGTCACTGTTTGCCCTGTTGTTTAGGTACAGGCGTCCGCTACTCTCTCCTTGCGTTTCCAGCAAATACATGTTCGATGTGAATTAACAAAAACCAAGGTGAAGGTTGTTTCATTTGTTGCATGCTTCATACGCACATGCTGTCACCGTGTGTGCTTGTTCTAACAAGCCTTCCCATAAGCAAAACAACGAGTTACTTTTTCTGATTGATGTTTCAAAATGTCTACAGGATAGTATTCGTTAACGTGGTCGCTTTTATTCAGTATCGAGCCTTAGCAGATAAGGCTCGGGATGCTTTCTATAAGCTCAGCAACACCAGAGAGCTGATTAAATCCCATGTATTTGATGGTACGTGTTTGATTATTTCCCTTTTGGATGGAAGTGGCTTAACTACAGCCTATACATGCTATCTGTGATATGCTTTCATGGATTTAGACTATAGTTAGGAGAATGAACTAATGCAATATATCGTTTATTTAGTTATTAGGGCAAGTGTTCCTAGGTTGGAGCTGGATTCAGTTTTCGATCAGAAGAACGATATAGCGAAAGCTGTGGACAGGAGCTTGAAGAAATACAGCCATATCTACTTCGTTGTTTTAGGACCAACCGAATTTGTGAAGACTAAATTATGTGTTATTTTGGATCTTTAGGCCATGTCACACTATGGGTTTGAGATAGTTCAGACCCTTATTGTGGATATTGAAGCAGATGAGAATGTAAGGAGCGCTATGAACGAGATAAATGCAAGTATTTGTTGAGACTTTACCTTGTTTTCTTGTTTTAAAATCAATCAATTTATCAATGGAAGCAGTACATATGACACTCATCACAGAAATGCTTGCAATCAACACCAATCAAACAAGATTGATATATCTGTACTTGTATGGAATAGCTGCTAGGTTGAGGGTGGCTGCAAATGAGAAGGCTGAAGCGGAGAAGATATTACAGATCAAGCGAGCAGAAGGGGATGCCGAATCCATGTATCTGGCTGGGCTTGGTGTAGCTCGAGAGCGGCAGGATGTTGTAGAGAGACTCGAGGACAGTCTGTTGGACTTCTCTGTAAATATACCCGGGACAACATCTAAGGATGTCAAGGACATGATTCTTGCGACACAATACTTGGACACAATGAAGGAGATTGGAACATCATCAAAATCCAATTCTGTTTTCATCCCACATGGGCCAAGTGCTGTAAGGAGACATTGCGTCTCAAATCAAGGATGCTCTTCTTCATGCTAGAAAGGGAGAACCTCTGGTGATCGAAGGTTAGAAGTGAAAGACACCGTCAGAGAAGAACGGTTGAAGAAGAAGAAAACATTTAAAGAGAAAAATAGAATTTAGTAAAGAGAGAAACTGTATTGAGTTAGTAACGATATATTTCATTAATGAAAAACTCCCTTAATCCAACTATACAATACATGAGCATTTATATAGCCCAAAAACACAGCATCCTAACTGATTTAGCAGAAATTCAGTTACAACAACTTAGTTACAAA